CCATTTAAAAAGTTATTTAACTCTTTTTAAAAATTGCCAATCCACCTCAAAGTTAATTATCAAAATTACTGCTTTGTTCCAAATTTTTACAAATTTTTATGAGCTCAAAAAATGCAGAATTAAAGTAAGTTTTGAAATGGTGCGCGTTATTAGTTATTTTATTAACATGGATAGCAGCGCTATTTTTTTTAAAAAAAAAAACCTGTAGTAAAATGTAAAATAAGATAAAAAAAAGTAAAGCAAGGTGAAGTAAAAAATAAAGTGTAAAATGATGTAAATTAAAGTAAAACGTAAAACGTCAAGTAAAATGTAGAGTAAGAAATGAAGTAAAGCTTAAGGTATAGAATAAAGTGCAAAATATAAAGTAAAGCATGAACTATTTCTGTGCTAAAATAAATATTCGGTGCTAAAATAAATTCTGAGCTAATTATTTGCAGCACAAAAACAAAAATTCTAGAACTCAATCTTCTTTCTCATAACGTTAAGTAAGGTAGTTTTCTATGTAAAAAAAATCAAAAGGTTAGTTTTGTATTTGGCCAGTAAAAAACAAAAAGTGGTTTTCAGCTAAAACAAATAAAATCTTTTTAATCGAACTCAGGTTTTTATTATTTTATTCATAACACTCGAATTATTTTGGCTGAAAACTAATTTTGTATCCCCTCTCAAAAACCACTCGCTGATCTTGATATTTTGTTCATGTTGAAAGTATGATATTCAAAATTATGAGAAAAAAAAACAGAGGTAATAAAAGTTGTTACTTCCCAGTTAAAATTTATGAAATTCGGCCCAAAAAATTCTTTAAAATCATTTTAATAAATTTTTTAAAAATTATGTAAATATTTGATCATTTTAATAACTTAAATACACAGTCTTGACTAGTGCTTTGTTCTAATGACATCAAATTTAAGAAAATTGCTTATAAATAAAAAAAGAAAAACTATAGACATTTGGAACATACGAGTCACCATCTGTTGTTACGCCATTTTCTAAATTCAAGTAAAATTTCAAAGCTCCCCATTAAACGTTGTTTTGGTCCAAATAATTCTGAAAAAATTATTTTAGCCTTTTTTCATCAAGACATTTTCTACAAAGAAGTTCATGAAAATCAATGACATCACGATTCATCGATTTCATTTGGAATGAGCCAAATGGGTATTGCCTTCAACATTATCATGAAAAAGAATTAAATACTTAAGAACTGAACCAAAAAAAATGTAAGCACTTAGAGTTGTTAATTAATTAACATTTAGTATTATTAATATTTTAAAAAATAAAACTTTTAACAAGATAAACTTTTAACAAATCTAGGTTGTATTTATCAACTAGTATTCAGAATTTGTAATTCCAACGTTTAGGGCATAATTTAACAAAATAACTTAAGTGTTCTTAAGAGAAAAATTACTGCAAAATTAAAATACTTTTTGAAATGAAGTGATAAGGCATATTTTTTCCAGGGGTATAATTTTTTTCATGAAACTATTATTTAGTATTCTTTCTTGATAGGTATTTTACAAGTTTCAGAGAGTTTCAGATTACAACAGATCATAATACACAGAAATATCTTATAACGCTTGTATATAAATCATACAGTTTTTCATTATCAAAACACTACAAAAACAACTCTATCACAACTTCTTGAATAATTCAAAACGTTGTTTATCATTATATTGCCCAAAACACTTCAATTGATTTATGGAAAACTTTAATTGCTTTAATTATTACAAAATTTAGTTTAAAAACAATATTTTATAAAAAAAAATTATTTTGTTAAAATATACATTTCTAAATACTTTCTATCCTTATTAGGATGTAATTTAATTTTTAAACCAAGTATGACATTTTGCATATACTGTCTAAATGCGAGAAAAGTACTCTTACTATACAATATAAACTCAGGATAGATCATATTAGAATAATTATAAACCAAATAAAAAACATTGTCATGCTAAATATAGCATAACTATTAAAAAAAACAATTTAATGTACTCTAAATGGTAGAAGAAGTCGCAAAGCAATTTCACTATTTTATATTTCTTTTTTCTTTCTTCAAATTATTTAAAGAAAAAAATTATACCTGAAAAATATTTTTAACACTTCCAAGCATTAAAAAAAGCGCTTTTTTGGTACATGCAGAATATACTTAAACTTACAAATTCTCCTGTGCAAAGTTGCAAAGAATAAGAAATTTTTTTTAATTATATCATAGATTATTTAAAAAAAACTAACCCGAAACTTTATTGTTTTATAATTTAAAACAAATAAAAAATTTATTTTATAAATGGCATCTCGTAAAACATTAATAAATATTCATAACTTATTTAAATAAAACTTCAAATTAACAACTCATATAATTAGTGTTCATAATTGTAATGCTCACTGGCCAAACTTTAAAAAAAAAATTTATGAGGAAAAAATCACTTTTCTCCTCATTAAAAAATCTCTTTTATGAGAAAAACTGTCATTCCATTACCCAGGAAATGCCTTTAATACTTTCAGTCTTCAATGCTTTAAAAGTTTCAAGTTTCATACATCAATTTTATTCATTCCATTCCTTAAAATGAAACCATATAATATTTTTTATGATGAATTAAATCTAGTTTCTCAGTGAATTTTTTCACGCAATTGGAGTACCAGGTAATAAAAGGGCTGATGCCTTGGCGAAATCCGAAGCCAAAGACTTATCTGGAACTAATGAAAACATGGCACCTCTCTCTGAAAATTATCATTGTTCCATTTTAAGAAAGAAAAGAAGCCAACGTCAAGCCCTTATTCCTCAACGGTATGCTATCAAATCTGCTGGTGAACTTTTGAAGTTTGAGGTCTTTCAAAGCATCTCGACAATGCTTTACAGACTCAGAATTAGTCACATCAAAGGCATGAGATCAGAAAATGGAATTAAAACTTCTCCACCATGCTTAAAACTGCAACATCTTAGCTACTCCCGAGCACATCCTGGACTGCCTCAACATTACTGTGAAGGATCTATTCCTAAAACCATAAATACTTGCCTCAAAGTTAATGAGACATTTACACAATTTCAAGAACCTGGTTTAGAACCAATCTAAGTCATGAGGATCAGTTACAGCACCACCAATTTTGAAAATCGATTTTATGCTTCTTTAAGGATTGCTGGTCATGCTTTTTTTTGAGGAACATTACTGTGTAGGATCCATTACTAAAATCATCAATGGTTGCCTCAAAATTAAGGAAACATTTGTACAATTTTTAGAACCTGGTTTATAACAAATCAAAATCCTGGGGATTAGTTCCAACACCACTCTTGAAAATCAATTTTATGCTTCTTCACGGAATTTCTAGAAATGCTTTTTTAAAGAAATGGTTTTGATATTTTGAAAATATAATTTATTTCCTATTTGAAGTCAGGAAATATGTCATTCTCATAAATTACAAAAAAAAAATAATATTCAAAAAGCTTAATTTTAAGATATACTAAGAAAAAATTTCTATCATTTTTGCATTAAACACATGAAAACATCAATGATAATTTTTTTTAAAAAGTATTTACTCTTTATTTTACTAAAATTATTTTACTATTATCTTTCTGTTCTTTTAAGTTTTTTCTTCCTATTTTGTAATTTTTGGTGTGGTGTAGTTTGATTCAATATTTTCTAAAATAATGATAAAACTCAAAACTTACAAACTTATATTATAATATTTGCTCTTAAAGTTTTTAACTTTGTAAACCACCCCTCTTCACCCATAATAAGCATTCTAATTAATTCTTATGTGGCAGATAATTTCTTCCAAAGAGTTATTTTATTTCTTCCTTTTTTGAAACTACTTAAGACATTCCAGAAATGAATTAAATGAACAAGGAAATCCAAGCCAAAGCAAAATATTTTGTATGCAACTAAAATGCTAAATGTCAAATCGCAGAAATCGTTCAAGTCATGAGAAATGGAATTACTTTTTTTCATTCGTGTATTTAAAACTTCTTTTAAATATAAATCTTTACTAAATATTGCATTCAATATGCATAGTAATCACATCTTCAATATTAATTTCATTTTTATATAAATGCCATTTCTTTCTTTTTTTTTAATTAAAAAAATTAAATTTTCTAATGGAAAAGAACATTTATATGCTGCTTGTGCGCTATGTTAAACCTCGAGGTCAGTAAAGTGTTATTAATGCAAGTGATGTAAAGTTGATACAGTGCACAAGAAATTTGAGTCTACTTTTGATGAGTTTGGTTGACTAATAAGCTATATGGATTCATTCCTCGATATTCAGATGGATTTTTGGAGGTAACATGCATTTTCAGATAACTATGCACCCAGTAAAGACTTGACGTCTTTTCTTACAAAATGCTTAATATGCATTGATTGGCGTCTGTTATTTACTAACCAGATATGGTTCACATTTTGGAATAAAGTATTGACTCTGTTTGTGTGTCATGATTATTTGATACACTGCTTGTTAATGAATCATGCAATGGCTAAACGAAATATTTGAAATATATTACAGTAAAATTCAGTTTATGTTTAGTACATTTTAATGTTTATCATATAACTCATTTGAAACTTTATTCAAAATAGTTGAATACATTTATGCCAATGTTAGAGGGTGACCAGTATAAAAGCAACAATATTTGATAATAGTAGTTGCATCTGATGTACACAATAGAATAAAGATGTGAGAGACAATTCTAATGTTGACGTTTCGCAAAAAAAAACTAAATGTATTTTTTTACAAACTCTAGATAAATATCAGTCTAAGAAAAAAATAATTTGATTTTCAAATCACATTTATTTGAATTAGGATGGATTTTCAGGTATTACTTAAAGAAATTTGAAGTTTTATACTTATGTTTCTAATGCTGATTTTAAGGATTATTCGACTTATAGGACGAAATTTGATAGAGGTACCAAAAAAATGCATACTATTCTTAAACGGTATTCACCAGTGCAACTAATACCTGTAAAAATGTTCATCTAAAAATTAATAAACACTATGAGAACACTACTTTATGAACTTACAGTGACATCTGGTGGTGAGTGCAATCCACAATGCTTCTTAAAGTAATCCCTTATCGCACCTCTTGCAGCGGCCATAAGAACATCGTTAACACTGCAGTGGGTCACCTGACGAATACGATCCACCGTAGCAAAACGGATGCCCGAAGACCATCCAATAGTTCTTTTTCCAGAAAGAGGTTGGCGATGAGATATTGGATTATAGTCCCTACGCGTTAAAAGCCATGTCAGAAGAGTCAATGGAGCAACAACAGCAGCTCGAAATACATTCAATGGAAAAGTCGTACCACCGATTCGAGGTTTGATTCGCAACATTTGTGGATGATCTGCCAAGAAGTTACCTAATAATTTTATAAAAGTTACCCCATCGCTCAAGGCATGGTGGACACGAACTATTAACACAGTGTCCCGGGCATCGCCATAGTTTTTCACCATTCTGACTTCCCAAAGTGGTCTATTCGGAGCTAGAGGATGGCTCATCAAAGACGATATCAGGTCTCTTAGTTGATGTCTAGTTCTGATGCGACGAGCCTCTTCAAACACATGCTTTTCGATATCGAACTCACTATCATCAACCCAGCAGTAACCAGCTGATACTGAGACCACTTTTTGAGTGAAACGAGCGAAGGCTCTTTCGCCATTTTCAGTTGTTTTTTCAATCACTCTGCTTTGTAGGATTTCTCGCGCAGTTCGAACATCCAGTCCACGTTCTACGAAAAAAAGGCAATGTGCGACGTAGCAGTTAAAGCGGGAATCATGCAACCAAAATGCATCTGTAGCAGACATAAATCCAGTACAGCCAGCAAAGCCATAGCCCAATCGACTTGCGCAGCAAACGGTTGTTGCTATCCTAATCATACCCACCACAACTACAGCTACGGTTAGAGTTGCTACCACTGGCAATCCAAAGGCAAAGCCACCAACCACAAATATAGTGGATATAATAACTGTCGGTACAATACTACGTTCTGCTGGATGCCGTATCTTTTTAACAGGAACATTTTTCATATACTGCGGAATAACAACAGGACTTTCTAACGCGGTTTTCTCTGTTGGAGATTCCCTTTCCTCCTCTCCGTCGCTTACCTCCATGTTTTTATTCAAAACATTAATACGTAATACAAAAGTGAAAAACGTTAAATACTTATAAAAGCTTTCCTAATTAAGTACTTTTGCTTTTCGTCATAAGGAATGGATTAGTTTGTGCTTTAAGCAATTTAAACTTGCTCGCTTCATAATATCCACTACACCATACGCTCTAAATTAGCTCAGTAAAAGAAGCTGTGGTGAATCATACGAGTCCCCTCATTGTATTTTTAAAGAAGTTTTAACTGCCATGCGAATAAATGGGAATTTTTTTTTGTCATTCTTTTGAGCTATACTGAGATGTTTACTTTGCTTTTTATTTATCACAGGTTAGGTTTCTGCGTTTCTTGTTCTTGCATGTATGTTTTCCACGGATGGAACATGAGATGTTTCTTAGAAATCATTACTTTCCTTCACCAGGCAGTAAATTATTCGCTGTTCTTGGGACAGGGAAAAAAATAAAAATGATGCGACGTGTTTGGAAATCTTGGATATTATTCGTTGTTATATTTTTTGCTGCTTGCCTTTCTTTTTTCCCAGCTGAGTGAGGGAGAAATGATCGAGATAGTAAGATAGATTTCTAAACAAAACATCTGGTTACTATGGTGACGAGTACCGACGCTGTAGAGGTCCTCTCATCGATTTGTTGAAAACCTGTAATAAAAAATGAAAACATATCATTGCCATTTCCCTTTAAAATGATTGATATATTTTTTTATACATTTTGAATCAAACGATGGATTGGATCAATGTAGATCAACCGTGAAATTTCACTGACTTTTTTTTTCTTTTTGAAGCTTAAGTTTCTTTCCAAGCAGGAAATACTGCAAACGACATAAATTACATATTAAGTATGATATGTTGGATAAAATTTTACCGCGACATTTTTTCTTTTAAGTCACTTTAACAGAAATTGGAAAAAGATTATTTAACTTTCAGAGTAAATAAAAAAGGGAAAGGAATATTTCAATGGTTACGGGAAATAAATGATAAGCCACAGAAAGAAGTGATTAAAACATTTTTTAAAAAAATCAGAAACCTCTGTTTTTCATTAGACCACTTTGAGTATAATTCTTCTAATATACATCGCTAATATCTACCATATACCTAATATCTACCATTTCTAATATCTACTTCTATTAGTACAGTTAACCTAAAATTTACCGTGTATGATATAAAATTCCAATGAAAAATATACTACTTTTAAAACAAGGTTATTACTTTCCAATTCTTTAGAACCTTAAATTAGGAAAACATTTTCAATTACATGAATTATGTTTAAATATGATAAATACATTTTTGATCATATGTAAATATAGTTAGCTACTTTATGCAATTCAAAACAGAAAATTCTCAAAAAAAAATTTTATGATGTTTCTTTGTAATTTTTGCTTAATACAAAAAAATTCCATTCTGATAAATCTTTAACAGGATAAAAAAAAACTAATTAACGGAAAGTATTTCTGACACCAATAAAATTTTCGCTTTAAAAGAAAAAAAAAATGAGGATTGAGAAACAGCAAAAATCGTTAACCAATCAGAGCGACCGATCAGTTTAGCGAATCAGAGCAGCCTGTATAAAAATTCTTCTTTAATTAAAGCATGATATAAATTCTTTCCAAAGTAAAACAAAACAGAAGTATTCCTAAAATCCAATTAAGCAAACGACATAAAGTTCTTGTTTCCATTTGACAGCAGAAGGAAAAAGATATCGCAGAACAGAATGAAAAGAGTTTTCTGATCAAACAATAATTAGAAAAAGATTTTCTAAAACATCTAAAATGTCATTAGGAATCAGCCAAACTGATATCTGACGAGGTATTTAATTTAGAATTTTTCTCACTAATGAATAGTAAAATATAATTCGCAAAAAGAAAGTAAAAGTTTTTTGAGTTTTTTTAATTTTCTAGACACATTCTTTGATATCCTAGAAACAGTTTGCAAGGAATGTGGATTAAATTACCACTAATACTTTGCCTTAGTACTAATTTAGTATTATAAATGGTTCATTACTGCATACCATTCAAAATATTTTTTACTTTCTCTTCTAAAACATTAACTATGTATAAAAAAGAGCAGATAATATTTATTTTTCTTAGTTATGAAAAACTATTCTTAGAAAAAGAGCGAGTTTAAAATATTTCGTTTATCTGATGAGGTACTAACCATTCTTTTATTACTGCCATTCAATTGGTTCAAAAAGCTTATTAAGATGCTTCCATATTTCAGTGGTCCATAAAACCCATTAAGGAACATTAGTTACCGATATAAGGTATCGATATTAAATTACCCATTATCGCAATACTATTAATACAAATTATTACTAGAGATTAATCATCATTGGCGACAATAATAATTAGGAGGCTATTCCAAAGTTCTCTCCCGAGACCGATGACTAGACTTATAAATTATATGAAATTTTCAAAGTTGTGCGCTAAAATGTGCCTTAATAATGTAAATTCACATTTCTCTATGCATAGTCATAAAGATAAGTATAGCTTTAAGTTGCCTTGCATTCTCATTGGATATAAAAATCACATGATATAATCATTAATCAAAGAAGAAGAACCAAATATTATTGGTTATATCATCAACACAAAATTTATGAAAGACATTCCGATGTTTACCAGTAACATTTATTTATCATTTCTTCGTAATATTTTATTAGTTAATATTATTTTCTTGATTTTGATTATTATTTAAAAATAAAGGCTTTAAAATATAAACGTCGTTCCTCTATTTATAAAAGAAGTAAAGCATTCCCACAACAGCTCATTGTGGGCCAGGGGGTCATAGACGTTGAAGCTATAAAATTTCGAAAGCAACTGCATGATTGTGGCACTGCTCCCAGACCGCCTTTACTTTCCAGACAAGCTGGTACGCATTGTTCTGAAGATGGGTGGGCTTCAAGCCGCCACTGGGAACCAAACCCCATTTCTTCACAATGACAGTTCGTTGCCTTAACCACTGAGTCATCGTGGTGCTTTTACTTTTGCTTATATTACTTTTGCTTTTTAAAATTTCAAGATGACGTTATTTAGTTACTTTTTAATTAACACCATGTGGTAAATAAGTTATAATTTTTTTTTGTAAGTTTATATTTACTTACTTTTGTCATATTTACTTATATTTACATGATAAATTTTATGTTAAATTTCCCTTAAATGTTAATTACATAATATATACTTACATTTTTACAGAAATGTTAAGAAATAATTTTTCGAACTTATGCTAACAACTTCCTAGTTATCACTAGAACTTCAGTATTGTAAAATAAATACTATTATTTAATATAACATAATGACACATTATCTATCGTGTGAATTAGTTACGAAATATTACATTTAAAAAGCTACAAAATGTATTTTTATGTGTAAATAATTTTTATGTTTTAGAGTTGAAGGTTAACAGATTATAGCCAAGCTTGTATTTTAAATCATAAAAAAATATGTAAGGTTTATTAAGAAAATAGTTCTTCTGATCAGTTATTTTTGTAATCATTATTAATGTTTATTTATTGTATCAATTTGGCCGGGATAAAATGTATGGCTACCATATTAGTTTTTTTTTTTATCAATCATCTCATATCGAAATAAAGCATCACAGCTGCCATTTCAACAAGCAATGTTTTCAATCAGTTTACGGTTAGTTTCCCATCTGTTTCCTTTTTCCTCTTCTTTTACCTCGATGTTTGAAAAACAATTTTGGGTCCAAAATTGTGTCAGAGTTTCTGTATTCTCTGAAAATGCCGATAAGAAATTATTACCGCTCTGAGGAAGAAAAAAAGTATGATCAAAACTACCAGTTTATGGTAAAATTTGCAGCATTTCTGGCTCTATACGAACACCAAAAAGCTCGGTAATTTTTATTGAAGCACTTTTATATTGTTTGTAAAATTAACTATAAAATATAATTTTATAATGAAAGATATTGCAAATTTTGCATATGTGAAAAATTCAGTAATTTTATCGTGTCTTAGAACATGACTTAAACGCAAAATACTTGGCTAAATTTTCTTTTAAGTGTAGTATATTTTATTAAATGTTTGGTAATAAGAACAATAATTTTGAAAACCATAATTTCCGGTAAATCTTTACCATTTGAACAAAGCAATTACTTTATGATTGGTTTAAATTATGTATATTTCGGTTTTTAATACCAGAATTATTGTTCATTTTTTACCAAAAATGCCATCACCATTCAGTAAGCTAATTTCATCAAAATCTTCTTCACCGGGCACTCAAATGTTATGTGGAGCAAATACAAGCTGTTTTACAGTTTTTGTGCACTTAACGCTGTGATGACGCATTGAGAAGTGGACATAGAGTGTTTCTTTAATGAAGTACTCATGTTTGGGGGGCAATTAAATACATTTAGATGGTCATGTGAACAGTGCATTGGATTTGGTAAAGAAATAATGAATTAAAATAAACATTTTATAAGTAGCTCATGAATTCATCATTTTTTAATCGATATGCTAATAAAAACTAAATTCTCTTTAGAATCTGGCAACTTTTTTGTACTGTAGTATCAAGTTTTTAAAAATCCTAATAAAAATTATTTTTGAAAAATAAAATTTAAACGTAATCAGTGAACAGAAATGCAAAAAGGAATTATAATTGATGATAAGCACCTTAATGGAATACGAAAATATATAAAATCAAACGTCAATAAAGGAAAGCAAAGGCTCTGCTATATGAAAGTCTTGTAAAGCATTTATTTCCAGTTGTTCCATGTATGTTTTAATTTCAATCACAGTATGTAAGAAGTGATATGAATAAAATTAACTTAAAAATATATGTAGAAAAATTATTTTATGCTGCAAATTTAGCAATTTAATGGCCCCATCGGTGAAGAATTGACCATGAAAGATCAGAACGCGTCAAATTACCAGAAATATTTTTGGAAGATTTTTGGATCAACTAATTACTTTGTATTTGCAAGAAAAATAAAATTTACATCCAAATCTTTTTCCTTTGAACTATTTTAAGAAATTGTATATGCAGGTGCATAAAATAGAATAAATTTTTATGTAAAAAAAAAGAAAATATCAGTCACAACTGTAGTAAAGCTTTCAGAGCTTAGATATATGCATCAATGATTTTCACTTCCACTTGTCGCTTGTTGTTTCTGGCAATGATATTTTTATCACCACTGCTTTATAGAGCTTTGAATTAGCTTTTATATTCATTTGAAGTTAAATATTGAGTTCTTGTCTGATTTAAAAAAAATGAAGAATACTACTATATTCATTTTTTTAAAAATCTTTTTAAGTTTCAAAGGTTATTTTCAAATATTTTTGTATAAAAACATCAATTTATTTTATTTAACTTTTATTTTAACGGCGAAACACATACTACAGATGAAAAATGTATGAAAAAATGTATGAAAAATGTATGTAAATGTATGAAAAATGTATGAAAAAATGTATGATCAAACTACCGGAATAAAATAAAAATTACCGATTTCTGGGTCTATGGGAAAACCAAAAAGCTCTGAAATTTTTGCGGAAGTGCTTTAGAAATGACTTCGGAAAAATTAACAATAAAATATGGTTCTATAATATGTGATATAATTTGGTAAATTTGGTAATTTTATNTTTTGTTATTTCCAGAATTGAAATGAATTGACGAAATACAGGAAAAATATGCATTCATAATTTTTGTAAAAAGTATGCTAACCCTCTCGCTGGCTTTTTTTTTTTTTTGCTTTTTTTTTTGCCAGAAGTGTCATTAGCCTACATTACGGTAACTTTACCAAAGTTGTTTTCGCCAAGTAATTTATCAATAGCTATATAAATAATCAAATATCACTAATTAGGAACGTAATGGGAAAAGCTAAACGAATAAAAAAAAGCTATGCAAACATAAACTTATGCAAAATTTAAATTTCTTACTATTTAATTTGCTGAAATATTTGTTACGTTCAAAATGCTTAGTTATCAAACAATCTAACACTTTAACCATTTTCTCTCTGAAATTTCGAAACATTTAGTTTGAATTAGTCTTAGAAAAGGATTAACGAATTAAATCTGATTTAATTGCTATACCGTTGCAATTTACTATGCAGGTGAACTTTGGCATTTACGGATTTTCGAGATTTAGCTCTCATTAAAATCACGTTTCGTTAATGATAGAGAGGAAAGACAACAAAAAGCAAACAGTCAATATTCTGTAAATATTTTCAAAAACTTATTTTCTAAGTAAGCACCTGGTTACTTAGATTAGATTAGCAGATTAAACTGAATCAAATAGTGAAATAGAGTAGTGATTTCTGGAGATAAATTATAAAATGTTGATTTATAAAATTTTAGAGAATGGATTCTTTTGCGTTAATTTTTTACCATAAATATACCATTCAAAATTTATTTAATCCCGAAATAGCTTAACTAAAGAAAGTACTTAAGCAACTAAGTTATAAATTGTTGATATAAATTTACTTATCATTTATTTATAATTACATTTTCTGTCTCCATTTGATTATAGATAGTATTTTACTAATTAGTTTGTCTCTATAAATTAGTTTATGTGCTTTTCAGATAAATATAAACAGCAACAGTACTTTTTTATATTTCAGTATCAATATAATTAAAAATAGACATGCAATATTTAATTGACATTTTAATATCTATTCAAGTTCATGATTTGTATAAATTAATTTGAATGGCATTTATATTTGGATTTGTCAGTGTTTAATAGTTACTTGAAAATATTTTTAGTATAATTATTACTCTAAAGATAGAGCAGAAATATTAATATTGACTTATTATAGTTCATTTATTATTGTTTGCAATTATCGTTAATTTCCGAATGATAAATATTATTTAGTTTTACTTGCATATTAATGAACCAATCATATCCACATTTTTAAGTATGTTAGGTACTTAATATTAAGCATTATTTATTTGAATTGATATCTTGAAGTATTTTGCAATGACTTCTTAAGAGAAAACTATTCATTTATTATGGAAATCTTCCCAGCTCTAATTTAATCAGTTGATTAAATTTGATATAAAGTTAGTTCAGAGAGTTTTTTAGAGTGAGCATGATTTTCCAAGCAAACCATATAAAATTGCACTGAAATCTTCGGGAATCCGGGAGGGTCAGTGAGCAGAGTTCAAGCCCATTAGTTTAATTTTATTCACGATCCGTAGAAATACTAACTATACAAACCATGAGCTATTTACTTATCTTTATATTTATAGTTAATTAAACACTTTACTTATACTTTTCTGACAAGTATATAGTAAAAGAACAATAAGATTATAAATAAAATAATTGTAACAAAAAATAACTATAATCACAAATATTTTTGACAGTTTCTAATTTTTGATTATAATTAAATATAAAAAAATAACTCTCACACATTTAATAATTGCCTTAAAAAACGAATTTTTTTCTAAAAAAATTTTACAGTAAGACAATTCACAAATACAATTTTAATACTTTTTTTTAGAGGAAAAATTAACACATTTGATTTACCTTAAAATAAGTATCAAATTAATAAATTGTATTTAACAATACTCTAATTTTCAAAATGCACCTTAACACAATCTAAACTGCTGTTTGTAGAAAATGCAACACCATGAAGGAATCATCAGAATCAAATGAAATTCGCAGCAAATGTCAATTATAGGATATTATGCAAATTAATAAANCACCTTAACACAATCTATATTATCAATATTTATTCAAGTATACAATTTTATTAGCATTTATAGTATCAATTTTTTAAGCATAAAACTTATTCTATTTCTTATTGATAGCTAGACAAAAACATTTGTAATCTCTTAAGTAATCAACAGATCTTTTATATTTAAAATTAGATTTTTCTATAAATTCCAAATGCACTAAAATTCTAACTTCATGTATCAAATTTATTTATATAATGCGTGTTTATATCAACTTCATTAATATTTGAATCAAATTTATTTATCTTTGTTTATGTTTGCCTAATTTATGTATGCAGCTTTTCTTATAAGTCTTCTTACTATTATTTTAAAATTTATAATAATTTGACGATTACTCATATTCATTAAAAATGTCCTATTCGTATGTATAGGTCAACTTTATGTCATCAATTTATTGGTACATCAATTTTTATTGATACAATCAATTCATTGATACAATCTTATTATAAAAACTCATAAAAAATATCCATTAAAGATAATTCATTATATTGTTCATCTGTTTATATTATATTATTTCGATAATGTGCTAAAGCAATTGTATTTCAAGTACCTAAACATTAATGTTTTGTTCCTTAATAACTTTAAACTGTTACTAAATTATTTTATAGGCTTTCATTAACATTTGAAGTTATTTTAATTATAGTTATTTTAGGTTTTCCTTAATATCCAAAGCACTTTTAATTCTTGTTTTCATCATATATAATACTTTTAATCAATCTCCTTATACATACAATATGTATTAATAATCTTGTATTATCAGAACAAAACTGTCAAAGACCAAATCTTTGGGTTGATTAGGTTGTCAAGGGCTTAGGTTGTCATATACTTTATGAAACATCCTGAGACACGTATAGCTATTTAATTACCTTATTTAAAAGATGTAACATTAGTAAAAAAACAAACACATAATCTTTTAATCAGCCATATTGTATCGATTAAGATTTATAAAGCCTACATCATTAGGCTATTTAAATATATTTATACAGTCGAAAACGTATCATACTTATATCCATGATGTTATGTGTTGTCAAAAAAGTTTTGTTTAAAAGTTTAATGTCAGAGAAAGGTCAGAAAAAAAAGTTTCGCTGTAACATACAAAAAGATAAAAATCTATGATCAAACAAAAATTAAAATAAGGAAATGTCATTTACCATAAGTTGCCGGACGTGAACGGGCACGCGCCGTGACCGGACACAGTATTATTCTCACGCTTTAACTCCTTCCCGGGTAAAGATTCTATGCGTGTTTGCTGTTTCCATGCCGCAGGGCAATCTGCCCTGGTGTTGGGGAAGATCTAGGACCCGGTCTTATTGATCCCCACCTTACACTAGGGCGGCGCAGGTACTCCGTTTTTGGGACAGAAATGGCCGTGCGCAATTCACCCCCACCCTTCAAACATTTTATCCTTTTTTTTTGGTTTTATAATTTTGTTTAAGAAATTTCTCTTAATTAAAGAATAATAATGTTTGCAAAACTTGTATGATTCAATGAAATTATTTTAAGAAGATATTTCAAAATGACAGAGTTATCGTAAATAGTGTTTTCAAACTAAGGATTTAAATGTACTGTTTAATTCCTATTTTATAAATATAAAGTGTAATTTTTTTTCTCCATTAGCTTAATTCTTCTCAAGGACTATATATAAAATATGTAAACATATTTTCGATAAACTAACTGTAATGGTCGAACTAAAAAATAATAATAATAATAATAACAATGGAAATAAAAAGAAAATTAGGCTATATTTTCGGAAATTCTTCATTGATTAATGCTCATATTAGTTTACTTAAACATACTCGTGCATTTAATACTTTTAAATGAAAACCTTCAAAATAATAAAAGATGAAAAATATAAAAAAACTAGTGGGCTGCGCCCCCTGCTCGCTAACGCTCGCCAACCCCCGAAAATTGTTGCTCAGTCTTATATGGTTTGCTTCGCAAACCAAGATCTCTTCGCTCACTATTGACTTAGGTACATTGAAAATGCACAAAATTCTAAGAATTCAAAACAATCATTCAAATCCATATAAAAACTTTTTTTTAAAAAAAAATTACATCTTTTTAGTAAATACTAAGTCATTAAAATAAATTTGAATTCAAATAAATGACATGTAATTCGTTAAACCTATTAGAAATGTGCTATAGTATAAAATCTTAAAGCGTAACAGCACGACTGAGACTCATTTTTCAATGAATAACTAATAACAATAATAAAACAAATAAATTCGTGATATAAATCAAAAATCGTCAAATAAATTCGTAATATATAAATTCGTGAAAAAAAGCGCTTTCGACAAAATACTAAAATAGAGATCTATCGACAAAGACTACTCACTTCTGCCTAGCTTAATAGTATGAGATTGCCGCAGCTGATGCTCTCTGGTTATTTCACTTTCCGTTTTTTAAAACGCTATATGTTGAGCCACCTCAGCTAGATTTGTCATGAGGCATTTTTAGCGGCAATCATTGGTCGATTCGCCGTGTAAGAGAAATAGTAACGTAAACAAAACAAAGCAAACGCTGCCACCGGCGGAAAAGAAATACAGCTAAAATTTGGGAGCTACGTAGGAGAATTATACATATTATTAATCGAATACACACAGGATGTTCTGTAATGGTCACCCTTCTTGCGTAGATTTAGAACCCTTAAAAAATGAAAACAAAAAAAAAGTGTGCTCATTGGGAATTGCAAATTATTCCTATGCAAGGGAAAAAGGGCAAAAAACTATAGAAATCTCACAAATGTAATGAACAACAAGACAGGATTGATTAGAGGGGAAAAAAAGAGAAGAATTAAAAGACAAGAATTAGAAATACCTTCAAGTATATCCAACAAGTACATCTTTTCTCTTCCTATACATTTTACATAAATATTATAGGTATTACTCTGTTTCGGGAGCTGCAAAAATTCGTCAGCTCTAATTGACGCTTGAGATGCCTATGTATTTCATTGGTGAAATATTACAGGTATTTATTAAAGGTAGTGTTGTGATACGTTTCTTTACGGCCCGGTGAAACAAAATAGTACTGAAATGTCCGTAAATCAATTGTTTTACAGGGTGTATACAGTTAATATTTTAAGGACTGCTTTTTAAAAATAGTACAAAGCTATGATAAATTACATTAGAATCCAATGAGAGATAAAAAGTGAGCTCGGATTGCGAAGTGAAACTACGATGGTAGTCCTGGGGGTTGGTGAACTCAGCGAGTTTATTTTAAAATATTTCATTTTTAACCTAAAGAAATTTTTGAAATTGCTTTTACTGTGGTATTTTACATTAGTAATATTCAAATGACAAATTTTAAAAAAAAGTTATATTGCAGAGATGCTGACTTTTGAATTTTCGTAATTTAAACAAATTATTTCTTTAAACTTTCAATTTAAATCATCTGAATTTAAGTGTGTTCTAAATTAGAGTGATTTGATTTTTATTATCAATATTTACAGGTAAATAACCAACGATAATCTCGTATGATTATAAAAAAACAGCCACTTTGACATCCGGTAAATGCTCTCTTTTATGTAATAAATTTATCTCGGATTATTTGTTAATTTTTAATTAATTTGTACAAAATTTATTTTAAGAGGCATTTTTCTGATAACGGTATTCTTGATAAGTGAAGAGCTATCTGAAATTAAATGAGTGAATGTAAATAAATGATTTTAAACTATGCTTAAAAAAAAGAGCAACAAATAAAACAAAAACGGAATATTTAATTTTATTAAGCTCATTTACAAATGGGAATGAAACAAATCTTGAAGCTGGTGTATTTGAAATAATAATTATAAATGTTTTTGATTGAAGAAATTATAACTATTAGCATTGTTCTTTTTAATTAAAACTAATCTCTAGAGTATTATGTTTCAAAGACATATTTTTTAACGATATTTTTTTCATTACATTTCAAACAACTTTTTAATTATAACATTTTAAATGACAATAGAAAAAGAATATGAAGGAGATTGGATTTTAAAAAATCATAATTGTTTAGTTGTTACTTCAACAAAAAAAATGTTTGCTTATTTTTTTAGCTTATTAAAATAAGCAATGTATTGTTATGAAATTAATTGCTTTATTCTGTTTGCTTTTAAAAGTAATGCCAATTGTTTATTTTTAATTAAAATACTTTTTAGAAAAAAAAACTGTGTTTTCAACAAGAAAAGTACCGCGTTGATTTCATTTTTAAGTTATAAAATTGTTTCTTTTCATCAAAATCATGGCTATTTCAAACGAAAGAAAAATGTAAAAGTAATGACTTTTTATTAATCTTTTGATAATTGAAAACTAACATACTCATTCTTCGTACAGGGTGATTAAAAAAAAATAATCAATAGAACGGAACAGCAGTACGAAATCATTCGAAAAACTGACAGGGCTAACATAATTAATATACCAACATAATTAATAAAACTAAAATAATTTCAGACATTTTCTTATTAACTATTTGTTGTCCTTCTCTGTGGCTTTACGTTATCAAAGAAACCAAAACAACTTTTTTTGCAGTTCGTTTCTTCAGAATAGAGGTTAACTGTATTCAGCATCACTTGGCAAGATGATACTTTTCAGTACATAATGATTTTTTTTTAAATTTCAGTTACCATCGAATTTAAAATGCTTTCTTTTACAGAAACAGGTTTTAAAAGAATTACTGTAAGCAAAATAGACACGTGATTTCAGATAACTTTAGGAATATTAATTGGGTGACGTAATCCTCTCATGCTCCCACGTTAACGTTGTTCCTTAAATTTTTCTGATATACACTGGTGGACAAAATTAAGAGATGGAAATCATTTTCGCACATTCATTTGCACATGCAAGATACCTTCACACCGCTCCATGTGTTTGACAATGGTTCCGTAAATGCCCAGAGGTACAGGCAGGAGGTCCTAGAGCCCTATGTGCGTCTTTTCAGGGGCGCTGTTGGCCCTGAGTTCATTTTTATGGGTGAGAATGCGCGACCACATGGGGATCTCATGGTTGATGAGTATCTGGAAAGCGAGGATATTCCACGAATGGATTGGCCAGTCAAATCCCCTGACCTGAATTCTACTGAACTTGCCTGGGATGCTCTTGAGAGAGCTATTGCGATGCGCCAACCTCCCCCCTGAACCATTATGAAGTTAAAAATTGCTCTGGTGGAAAAATGGGAGGGTCTTCCACAAGTCCTCCTTAACTCCCTTATTAACAGCATGCATACTCGTTGTGCATGCTGTCTGTCTGTCAGGGGTGACCATACACCATACTAGAGGCAACACACACTGTACAAGCCTCACTTTTATTGTCATCTTTTATCCTTAAGTTCAGACTACATTGGATTTATTGGCAATAGGTCTTGCCAGTGAATGGCACTTTCATTTTTGTTTTGCATACTTTATTATCATGGAATAAGATATATCCATACCAAATTTCATTTATTTATATTCAGTATTTTTTGAGATATTTGGAAAAATGTCTTCCATCTCTTAATTTTGTCCACCAGTGTAGCTAAAATTAAAATAATAATGAACTCTTTTTTTCATCAAATAGATAGCAAATGTCACTGACGCCTACTTTAACATATTAGAAAAAAATGGAATAGTTTAGAGTTAAGTTTAAAACATTGTTTAGCATGCCGGTCAAATGATTCGCAGTAGAATGTTTTAATGTCGCTGGTTGCCTTCCCCGTGCTTCAAACTGTCGGTATGCCAAATTGCATCGTTCTTGGTCATATGGTATAGGAATCTATAAAGAATAGACATACAAACTTTCATTTTTATATTTTTAGATTATATCAAAATATGTTGTTTAGTGTTGACTCAATATTTTTATAAAATACAAGTAATTATAGAAAATATACATCAAATTTTTCAAATGGCTTATTTTTTTTTAATATGAACTGCACAATAATAATTTGTTAATGATTAATATAGATGCGAGTTGCAATTTTTATAGACTACTTAAAAAACAATATTATTGCGTTAATTAAGTCGCACTACGAAGTTTTTTAAAATGTAACTTTGAGTGTTATTGGACCCTAAAAATAAAGAAAACTAGTGTTTGCAAATTTTTGAAGCTTCCATGTAAATGTGTACGAAAATATCAACATGCTGATTAACATTGATGAAATGATTGGACTCAACTGGCATGCACTCAAGGTGATGTAAAAAAAAAAAAGAAAAAAAATGGCATGGGAACATTCGGTCGATGATTTTTTTCGGAGCCCAAAGTGGTGGCAAAAATTATACTAAGAAAAGAAAAATAAACAAGAATTATTTTACATTATTAT